AGTTTACATTTGGTCTGGTGCAGCATTTTGTCTTTGCTATGTTCAATGACCTTGGACTGATCTGAGACCTCCATCCAGGTAACTCTGCAGTGTACAGAGCAGAAACTGAGCAGCTTTATCCAGTGGTGCCCCTCTGTGTGCATGTGTAAGTGTTTATACACACATGCATCCTCTTTCTTTGCAGCTCCTTCTCTCCTTCTTTTTCCATTTGGTTCTACTTTGCATTTTATTTGCAATGTGTTGTCCTGTTGTGAGTATTGCTCATGCATGTTGAGTTAGGGTTCCCTGAGGAGTCTGACTGGCACTGGAAAATTAACTTTTTTGGGGGGTTTTGCACTCTCAAAGCCCTTTCTTATAAGCTAGAGGTTTTGCTCTGGGGTAGTAGGATGTTGGGAAGAGCTGAAATATGGCATTGCTGAGAATCAATTAATGTAAAAACTGCACTAGTTCCCGACTGTGTGCTGATTGCTCCATCCCAAAGACAAATGTGTTTGCAGTTTAGGTCACAAGTGAAATAAGCATGTTCAATCTCATTCTAACATGTCACTCTTACAGACTTTCTTCTCCACCTCAGTGCTTATCTCTAGACTTGTGAATTGTGTCTTGTTGAGAGCTGTGCAAAATACGTTTTGAAACTGCAGATCCCTCCCTTCCCCTCCCCAAGGAAAATAAGGAAATTGTCTTGCAAATATCAAACCAGTTCTTTCAAAGTGTTTCAGTTTGGCAACACTGAACAAGGCAACAAGGAGATTGACACTACTCGCAGTAGAAAGGGGGTATCTCATCTTAAATCTACAAATTGAACTTACTTCTACAAAACAGATCTGAGTTTGTCCTCACTGCTCACTTCAGAGATCTGAGAAATGTCTTGTGTATCTCAGGCACGTGATTTATTTTCCTCTTAGAGTCCCTACAATACTGGCTTTGCTTCTGCACTTAAATGATTCACACTTTAAATTGAAGAAACAACTCTGGTTCTGGTTGTGAGATGATCTTAATTAGTTAAGGAAAGTAGCAACCTCTCTGCTGTTGAATACCTTTGCACACAGCAAGGATATAGTAATGGTTAAATATCCTGCCAATCTAGAGGTGAGCAGCTTTCAGACTTGATCAGATACAAGAAAGGAATGAAGTGAAGAAGCCTCATCAGGTGAGGACCCTGCTGTGTGTAACCACAGGCACTGCCTTTCGTGGCCACCTACCTCTCCGAATGTTTGCAAAACTCACTTTCTGTCCTCCGTTGTCATTATGTTTTGACCAGGAGAAGAGATCTCATTTTGAAAGCAGAACACCCAGCAATTTGGCATCCAGGCCTGAATGGCAGGCAATGGAGGAAAACTATAGGAGGCACTGTCTTCCTTCCCCCTGTGTTCTGTTCTGTCTACCCAAGATTGCATCCTAATTCTAGCTGATGGCTTGATACGGCTACTCCCCCCTTCCTCCACAGGACACATTATACACTCTTGTAAAACCTCTTGGGTAGCTTTGTGGTACAAAAATATGTGACATAAATCCAAAGGGCATTCTTTAATATAAGACTGTAAAATGTACACAATGCCGATCCCACTTCGCCTCTTACTGTTTTCCTTAGTCCTCTTATGGGCACCTGGATAGTATTAGGGAAAATTGAATGCATGTCCCTTCTGAGATAGGGTCCTGTTCCAGATACGTAGTCTTGCAGAAGATGAAGCTCTGCCTCCCTGTGGGGAAACAAATTTAGCTAACCACACAGTGTAGGGTGGGAGTGATGCCAGCCTACACACCATAACTCTGTGGCGGTGCTTTCTTGTCGCTTCACCGACTAAACATGAGCGTGCACATGTCCAAGGGCCTGGGTGCTGCAGCTTCAAAGCACTGGGCTCTGCCCTGAGCTTGTGTAACAACAGGGAATGCCAGGTAAGCCCACGCTCTAACAAACAGCTGTGGCAGCTGCTTTGCTGCTGTGGATGTGTGCGTGTCACCTGGCTTTCTGACTAGACCAGAGCAGCTGCTGGGCTGCTAAAAGAATCTAAAACACTGCATCACTTCTTGTTCTCTTCGCTGAAAATTCGCTTGTGCATAGCTGAAGCAAACATCTTTGGTCTGGATTTCACTTCATTTTGCAGCTATAGGAAGAGGCACAAATGATGGGTTACTTACTATAGAAGCGAGTAAGTTTTCCCAGTGCCCAGTTGTCCTTGGATGTATTGTCGTGTGTGAGTGCTATCACAGCAGGAGGTGCTGGAGCCCTCTTTCCTTGCTGATCCTTCCAGCTGGAGCAGGGTTCTATGCAGCCATTCTAAGTGATGAGTTTCACACCAGGCAGCGAATCCAGTAGGACTCTGAAATGTGCTAGATGGAAGCAGATTTTACATGGGGCCGTGGTCTGGGGTTTCTCTCTCTCTTTGTGCAGCTGCTGGTGGAATGGGTTTCCCAATTTCCCATTTGTAGGCCTGTTTATTTCCCCTGTCCAAACATTTTCTTTGTAGGGCAAGTTGGAGAACAATGGGTGGTCTGAAATTGTGCAAAGATGGGGGGGAAGTAGGCTATACATCTGAAGCAGTCTCATAACTAATGGGAGTATTTGCCCCTGGGAAGAGGCTGAATCTTTTTTCATCAGATACAAATGAGGCAATGCAAAGGAGGAGGAGAAGGATTCTATTAAAATTAGAGGGGGGAGGAATTTGGTGGTATGACCTGGGCTGGAAGAACTGTTACAATTTGTCCTGCCTTGTTTAATCAGTATGGATTGAAGATTTGATTATATGGTATTTCCTGTTAGAGGGGTTTCAGCATATCATCTTCCTTACTCACACTTACAAGGTCACCTGATTTATCAGAATCTCAAGTGCTGCCTAACCTCTGGGAGAGGGCTGTCTGGAAAGAGCAGTGAGCTGTGAAGGGGCTGGTGTGAGCATTTAAGCTTAGCATTAGTTGACATTTGCAGTTGTAGACAGCAAGAGCTTTGCCAAACCTGGCCCGAACGTGGGCTGTGACTGGAGACTTGCACCTGGTCAAGTTACAGTGCAAAAATTTGTACAGTGCTACTGTTAAGCAGTTGAGCCCTGTGAGCTCTATTTAAGGCTTGTACTTATGAAGCAACTGGAATAACACATTGGGTATGGTGGTAACTGCTCCTCTCTGGCACTTGAATTTAGACTTGGATTGTTCAGACTTTTGACCAGGACCTCAGCTGTTCGCAAAGGGTCAAAGCACGGCTTTATATAGTGGTTCTGAGCCCCTCTGGGAGTAGAGCTCCACCTGACCTTAGGATTGCCCTTAGATCTACACCAGCAGATTTGTTATGTGTCTTCTTCCTCCTCAGCTATCTCTCCCCCTCTTTTTTTATATTTCCCCTTCTGGTCTAAGTGGGTAATGGAATAAAATGGGAATTGTCCTTGGATAACCTCCAGCAACCAAAATGTTCCTTTTTTTGGCATAGTTTCAGGGATTTACAAATGCTATGTGAAGGCCACCCCTGTTGAAGGAACCAAACTTCTCTAGTGGTGCCCACTGAGCTCATCCAGGGATGCATTTGCACTAGACCCATTTGAGAGCCTTTCCTGTTTCTCCTGTGAAATGCTCATCCCTGTCCCTCTTTGTCTTGGTTCTGAGGAGCACACCATGACCAAACAGAAGTGTCTCCATGAACTGTACACTCTGGCATTTTCCTGTTCCAGTCAGGGATAATAAATAGCAATGGTAATAAATAAAAACAGATGCTATAGACTGAAGTTTGTGTATGACACATTTTCCAGTGGCAGTACTCACGTTCTAGTACATGAAGTACTCTCTCTGTGTGTGTGTACATTTTAGTTTCTACTCCAATATCCCTCCAATGTACCCCTTCTATGGGAGGAAACTGGGGTGCTTGGACACAGGAGGGAGGGAAAGTAGCCTTCTGGAGATGTGGGTGTAGGCTGATGCACCTATAGGCTGCAAAACCTGTTGAGCAAACAAGTGGTCTAAAGAACAAATTCATGCTGAAGGAGTCAGTCTTGCTTACTCTGGTGTCCATCCTTCTGCCTCCCTGTTTCAGAGAGCTGAGGACAGATTGAAGGAAATGTCCAGGTTTCAGCCTGGCTGTCTCTGTCTGATTGGTACCATTTCTTGGGCCTGCCAGTGTTCTGCTGTCTCCAAGCACGGTAAAAAATTGTATTTTTTAGATAACGTTTTCTCTTTCTTTGAAAATTTAGCTTCTTAATTCAGTATTGTCTTGGTCAGGATTTTATACAAAGTCCATGTGAACTTTGAAGTGAACAGAAATTTTATTGGGTTAATATCAATTTGTGGAGCAGGAAAGAATTTTAAGGGGTTTTTAATCTTGAGATGAGGATCTCACTAGTGCTAGCTCCAGGTTGCATATGTGATGCTGTGCAATACCATCCTTGAATAGCAAGTACAGTGTAACACAAGTGTCATACGCTTTTCCTATGTTTCACTGAGGCCCTCATCTGACAAGTGTGTGTGTGTGTGAATTTGAACATGCTTATAATGCTTTATAATGCTTTATTTACATGTGGAGCCAGCTGGGGTGTTCCTATGGAAAGACACTCATATATGCAGCTGAAGAATACTCTGGTTAGAGTGAAATGGGCTTCACTGCGTGAAGCAGTGTACATGCCTATCTAATATCAATAAGCATATGTTCATATATGTCAAATTCAGTTAGTTTCTCACTCTTGACTTTCCGTTACTTTAGCTGTACAAGAAAATGATGTTGGGTTGGATCAGGGTTACCTCACTGTGGTCTCCTCCAACATTATCCATTCTGTGATTCTGATTCTCCTTCACTCCAACTGAAATGGAATGTCTTGTTTCAAATTGAGTGAAGAATGTGCTATTCAGTGAAAATGATTTGGTTTGAACTAATTAGCCTGTTTTTGAGAAATCTTCAGTTTTACCAGCTGTCAGTTTTGAAGCTTCAGTTTTCAGAGTTAAAGCCTCCTAAGCCAAAACCAGAAATTCAGTGGATTAAATAGATTTGGCCTTCAGTAGCAATAAGAGACTGACAAGACAAGAAGTAGTAAATGTCATGTATTTAATGCTCGTTTGAATAGTCTCACATGAAGTCAAAGCACCAAAAGTTGAAGCTTTCTCAGCGAAGCCTAACAGCATTGACTGTCCAGACCCACCTTGTTTTCAGTATTCATCGCTGAAGGGATACTCTGGATGGTCACGCCACCTGTGGACAGATCAGATTGAACAAGTGAGTTCCTTGGGTGAAGCAGAATATCACATCACTGATGCAGTTGTCTTGTGCCTAACAAACCTCTTCCTTGCAATATATATGTGACCTTCATGGAAGGCTCTTCTACTTATTCAGAAGCTGCCTGCTCTGGATAATCATCCCTGTAGAATTGGAAGCAAACCTCTGCATTTAAGGAGGTGACAGTGAAGCACCATTTTTTGGGCCTACTTTAGAGAGAGATGGGGAAAAAACAACAAGAGTTTGGATGTCAGGTATTGTCATTATTTAACTCAAGCTGATAAAGTGTTTTAGGAAAGGGGGATGGCTTCACTATGTGTGCATTGTGGAAGGCAAAGACTTCTTTGTTCAGATGTCTAGAAAGACCCCTAGAAATAAGGGATAAATGTGTAAGTGTGAAGCAGAGGTCAAAACATCAGACTGTACTACTTTGTCTTATGCCCTGAGCAGGTCTGGGTCTTGATGATGCTTTCTACAAGTGACTGCCACATCCAGACTAGGTCTGGCTGTCCTCTAGCTCAGTCTACATGTAGATGCTCTACCAGGTTAATAGCATCAGGGGCAGGGAATTTACAAAGAGGCTTTGGGGTGACCCAGTTCAGGAGACAAAGGGATGTTCATGGCTGCATGTGACCAATGGTAGAGATGTTTCAGGCTTCACTTTAGAAACTGCATGCTCAGGGAAGATGCACAATCCAAGATATTACTAAAGGCAAGAAGAAAATTCCCAAGGTCAACTTCTGGTGAAAAAATAACACTGTGTTTACCCATTATTGGCAGACTTGAGAGAGGTAGTTGTTTTCTGTTGTGGATTTTATTTGTTTGAGAAGGTGATGCTAAGTCACAAGCCCTGGCTTGTCAAACATTTTCCATTAGCAAAATGAAAAATTTCTGAAGAGCATTCTCAGGTGTACCATGGCAGCTGGCTGCCTTGCCTTACAGCAGAGCACAACAAATACTGGCATTTGTCCCAGCTGTGAATCGCTCCAGTCTGGGAAGGATACATTTCACAATATTGAAGGTAACTAATTGGAAGGCATCAAACATTTTGAATTGATTGTGTCAAAACATTTCATTCCAATATTCAGCCAAGCTCAAGTGTTAACACATTAACAGATTGATTTGGTTGAAAAAAAAAATAAAACAAAAAAAACAAGCCACAACACTTTGGCTTGTTTGACTCCAGTATAATTTGATGATGTCTGAGTTGCCAGTGTCATAATCTTTACTTTCCATCTCTGGAGGATGCTGGCTAATCAGATCTCACATACTCAATAGTCTGAATCTTTTAAGTGAAAATTATTCACTTGGAGGAGTCAGTGCAGCTTGGAATAACTGGTAAGGAAGAACAACTGTAACAGAGAATTGGGAGCACAAGATAAATCAAGCAGATAGATTAATGTAAAACTTGCCCTGCACAATACGTGTAGATTTCTCCAAGTGGAGAAGAAGCAATTTCAGATTAAGATTTCCTGAAGCACTCATATTTTTACAAAACCTCCATTTTCTTCTCAGATACTTATCTTGCTAATTCATTCCACTGATTCCAATATCCTGTTTGTATGGGCTTACTCATGCCGTCAGAACAACAGATTTGCACATGGGACCCATATGATATTTGATAATTGGAAGAGCCAGAGAAAAGCTGGATTTCTCCATTCTTGCTGGCATTTGCATCACAGCAGTCAAAGGTTTTGCACAAAATTGATGAACCAAAAGTCTTTCTGTAACAGGGTTTGACTTTTTCAGATACATATTGCTGGATGAAAAAGAAATGTCTTTAGACTGGTAACTTATCTGTTGCAATGTCAATTCCAGACACTTCAGTGTGAGAACACACAGTAGGCATACATATATATATATACATACATACATACATATATATATGTGTGTATATATATATATATATATAGCTGCTCCTTACATGGCAACATCACTTTTCCGATAAGGTTTTTTTCACAGAGGAGATCAGACTGTATTGAAGCATTTTCCTCAAACATGGCACTCCTGTGAAAACTACAGCTGCCAATGTGCATCCTGTTTTCCTTATCCTCAGTGGCCTCCTGTGACCAAATTTAGTCTAATAAAGCAAATCATTTTGTTTAGTAGTTTTTTGGATTGTTGGCTTAGAAAGTTCTTCTTCTGTGGGCATTTGCATCCTTTCCTGGAAAAGACTCTTGCATTTGCACCAAGATTACATTTTGCGTATATAATCACTAAAAGTTTAAATGATATTACTACTCAATTTAGCTATGTAAAAGCAAATTATTTTGAATACCAAAACACACATAAGAAACTCCTAGGCCATTTGTGAGGAGCCTTCTGGAACTAGATGCTGCTAATTGATGGAAGGCTATTTTAAGTTTCAAGAAACTAAAGCTTCGGAGCACTTGATCTTAAATCTTAAAAGTTAATCTTGAAAGATTAACTTCATCATGATGCTTTTAACTTAGTGCATATCTTCCATAAGTTATGCAGCACAGTAAGTGGTTTATTTGTTTCTTTGCAACATTTCCTCCTAACTTTTGAGCAATGGTCAAAGTTTTGGAGTGCTATTGATGCTGTTATCCTGCTTTTCATTATTTTTAGTGCTTGAGCATGCTACAGTTTGGCAGGACACAGATAATCCAAGACAACAAGAGAAATGCATGGAAATGAATCTCTAGCATTTGGCTACATATTGAGTGCCCTGAAAAGGGGAAAACAAGTTTAGTCATAAACTGTAGGTGCTCTTGAGCTGAAGGAAAAACAAACTGCCTCATCCTCTGGAAGAGGGGATGCTGGGTCAGTCTGAGCCTTCTGGGATAATGCAGCCTTCAGATGAAGCAAAACTACATTGGGTGGCAAGCTTTAGGTGACAAGCAGCAAGAGATCAAGCCTTGTTAGTTCTGAGAGGAGATGGTTAGAAGTGGTTTAGCAGTCAAATGAGCTGTGTGGTTTTCTATTTTCCTTAGAAGAAGGTACAACTCCCCATGACAACAAGGCAGGGAGATTGCTGTAGAAGATGGCATCAGAGGAAAGGACAAAACAAAGTTTCTGACTACTTGTGGTCACCCAGATGTATCAGCTTTTATAAGGAAGTGAGAAGGAGCAGAGCTCTCCCCAAATTAGCCCTGTTGTTTCATGTAGCAGTGTTCTTGATTCTTAGCCTCCTCTGTGGTAATTTAGGACAGGTTGCCTCTTGAAACACTAAGTTTACAATCCATAAGGCCTTGTACTTGAACAGCAAAGTGGCTTGCATAGCACTGAAGTGAGGGTAAGACACGTCGGGGAAAGACAAGAAAGTGCCCCTATTTGAATTTCAGCTGAGATGTCTACACTGCTAGACAGGGATGATGCTACACCTTATCACTGCCTGAAACTGTCATGACCACATACAATAGAAAGAGCTTAAGGAAATAGGGTAGAGATGAAATAGCCAGATACAGTCACTTTCTACTAGGTGGGCTTTTGGCACCTGAGCTGTAAGGAAGTATTTTACACTTCTTTTTGCAGTGGGTCCAGGAGCATATTCAGGCTGCATTAAAGACCTCCCATACTTAAGCCTTACCTTTAAAATAAAGTTGTTTATACAAAAGATAATATTAAAAGGAAGCTTTTTTTTTTAAATCCTCTGAAAAAACAGGAATGTTCTGTGAGGATCTAGAATTCCTCCTGTACTTACATTAACAGTTCCACGTAACGAACGTTTTTGTTCAGGGCTTCAATTTCTTTCATCTCTTTCTCAGTGAGGGAGAAGTCAAAGATCTAATGGAAGGAGATGTTAGGAATGAGTTCACATTTCTTGTCATAATCAACCTTCACATGTTCCAGATTTCAGAAGTACAATCCGTCCTTCTCCCCGTACCTCTCCCACAAATCCACGCACTGGTTGCATTTATAGTAAAGTCTCGAGGACATGAATAAGCCCAGTCACATTTGCCTACACTCTTTTGCAAGAAGGGGAAGGTAGTCTGGCAATGCTGAGCCACCAGCTTTGAAAGCAGCATGTTGCCAGGGAAAGTAGGGAGTAGTGTGGGTACTGAGTGCTGCAGGGGACACGAGAACAAATTCTTCATCTTTTTTGGGTGTGGTGGGTTGTGAATCTTTCTGTCACACTTGTATGCAGCAATCCTTCCCTAACAAAGCTGTCCCATACCTGAAGACTGGTCAGAACAATCAGTCATTCCTAAGTACCTGCAACCTTGGGCTACTGAGGTACTGAATTACTTCATCTTGCTTGTGCTGCTCACTGCAGCAACTGGTGCTCTGGGACACACCAGCTGGAATTTTAGGTACTCCAGAGAGTTACAAGACACCAAAAGTTCCTCTCTGCTTTGCTCTGTTATTGTCATATCATGTTACCTTTAAGTGAAGGGGACAAAAAGCATCAAATGTGGCAAAGCTTGCTATTGGTTAAGTCTTGTGTACATCTACAGAAAGAAATGGAAAAATCGCCTTCTATAGGGGCGAAGCCAATGTAAGTGGATTCATCCATGTACCACTGGAGTATGAATTTACCTGGAAATTCTCTCTGATGCGTTGTGGATTGAAACTTTTTGGGATGACCACCACCCCTCGCTGGACGTTGAAACGCAAAGCAACCTGTGCAGCAGTCTTGTTGTACTTTTTGCCAATGGCATTCAGCACAGGATCCTTCAGTAAAGGAGGGGAGGACACATTTACCCTGGAAGAAATTGGGGAAGAAAAAGAAACCAAAAAATCCCTCATCTTTAATATAAAATCATAGAGGCATCTACTTCTTTGTGAACAGAACACTGCACCTTTTAACAAGTAGCGTGAAAGATGAGAGAAAAGCTTTGCCACTTAAGTTGGCGGGCTGTCAAAGGCAACTTCCTATGCGATGTCCTAACGTTGACTTAGTTTCTACTTCCTCACCTAAGCCTCACACGTTCCCAGTTACAAACACTTGCTTTCTGTTAGAGGAGACCTAAGGCAACCTCCTTTACAGACACCTGGCATTCTTTGATGACAGCATGCAGCAGGAGTGTGGCAAGTTTACATTCACAACTGTAATATTTAGACATTGAAGTTCAAAACTACTGTGAAAAATGGGGACAAAGGTATTTTACACAGAGACACAGCAGTGGAGAACTATATTATTCTTTTCCTGGATATTGTCCTTCTGTTAGAAAGTGACATGAAGACTTACCATGATTCATCCCTTGAGGTTCCCAGTGGGCTGTACCCAACAATAACAATGTCATGTTGTCTGCAAAATTCTGAGAGTTTGGGTTGGGTGAAGTAGGGGTGGCATTCGACCTACAGGAGTAACACAGAAAGAACAATTATCAACAGAACCAGATATAGAAGCAGATGGTATCTCAATATTTGTAGAGCTGCAGAGCAGCTGATGCTTTCAGGAAAGGATATGTGTAAATTAGGGAAACTTAATCTGTGGTTACTGTTCTAATTGTACATTGCTGGCTGATGGATTTTTTTTCCTTTTTTTGTGGACAGCAGATCAACATCTGTGACTATAATTTGGCTGCAGGGAACTTCCATTGCCTCCCAGTGAAAAGGTGGAAATAAGTGGAGGTGATGGAGGTGAGGGAAGCTCACTAGAACAAATAGACTGAGAAGGCAGTCCATCTCATTTGGGTCAGTTCTCTATTTCTCTGCCTCTGGCATTCAGGATGTCTAATCTGACGTTGTTTTTAGGGAAGTGTTGGCACAAGCTGTCCCAGATAGAAAGGTGAGGGGGGCATACGCAAAAGATGAGATTCTGACCTTGTTGTGAGCTCTGCCCTCCCACATTGCAAATATGGTTCCCTTACAGGCAGGGATTTTCTGGCTGCGATCTCAGATTCTGGGAAAAGGATGTCTACAAGGTGACAGAGCAACCACTGTTTGCAGGGCAGTCTGAAGCTATCTGGCACATCTATGCTTGCTGGCTAGCTGCCCTAAGCTGGGCTTAATCTTTTGCCCAGTTTCCCTCGACCCCAGGAAGCAGCAGCAATGCTCAGCACGGTCTTAGGGCACGCCAGAAACAGCAATTGCATTTTGCACCCGCTAGGCATGTTAATACCAGTGAAGAGTGCTGGAATTTCCTCCTGTCACAGGCTGCCTTTCCCGCCAGGACAAATACAGAAATGAAGGCTGTGGCCAGCCACCCTGCCCTGCTCCGTGGCAATTCCAGCCCTCCAGCCAGGCACTGAGACTGGGAATTTGGTCCTGGTTGCTGGCCCCTTCTCTGATACTGCTAATGTGGATATCTGTTTGTGCCAGATGAGTCAGAAGAGCTTCCCAGTGATTTCTAGGAAATGCAGTGACCTGCCAAATGCTAGAGCCAAAGGTATTGGGCATTCAGATGGGTCGCTGCCACTTATCGCCTTCTCAGAGCCCTACTGCTGTAATTTAACTCAGACGTGCCTATCATCTTCATGGGCTTGTTCAGCTCAGGTCAGTCACTTAGTGGGGTCTCCTGTAATTGAGGTTTTTCTCTAACTCTTAAGAATGTCTTATAGGAAAGGCAAAAGAGAGCAAGTGCAGAAAATTTAGGAGTCAATTCTAATGGCTTTTAAACTCGAGAAGCTTAGAGTAACTCAGGATCCCCGATACTTAGTGTTGGGTTGGTGTCAGCTTCATCGAGGAATGGTTAGCTCTGAATGGTTTGTTGTGGGAATTTTTGGACTTGAAGTAAGGTACATGGCAAAGATTTAAGATCTGCATTGACTCAGTGTTCAACCTCGTTACGGAGCTTTGGCACGGAGGCACCAGTTTTATAGTCCTGGAGCAGAAACTGAGGAAAGCGATTGCTCCGGCACATTCAAATGTAGATCTTTAGCCTGGATAGGAAGAGTGATATTTTCAAGCTAGAAATGGAAGTGTGACAGTATGGAGGGCAGTGTCTGTGGCAAAGTATACATCACATTTCTGTACATGGCGGCCTAGGCTACGTGTGTGCCTCTGCATTCCCTAAAGGGTAGTGGCACTGTGGCAGGTATTGCTCTTGGCTTGCAGTCTTACCTGGTTGCTGACAGGTTTGTACTTAAGTCCTGGCTTGTTCATGATCATCTCCAGTTGCCTGCGGTTGAAATTGGATACTCCAATAGACTTTGCCAAGCCTGCATCCTTACATGCCTCCATAGCCTGCAAAGAAAGCAAAGACAAGAGGAGTCTCACATGTTGACTTGATTCCTCGTAGCACGCGTTTTAGAGAGAGATGGAGGATAGGCCATTCTTGAGACTGCAGAAAACCCTTTGCTGCAGCAGAAGTAACAGCTCTGTTAGCATGAGGGCTGGTGTTGTCCAGGTAGCCCAAACTCCTGTGGCAACATCCAACACTACTGTGTTTATCTGCTTTCCAGACCAAACCCTAATTTTTTATACCTCCTGTGAAGATAGAATCTGTCTGGAGAGCAGAAAGATTAACCCAAGATATAGATACTTTAATGCCAGGCATGTGCTTTCAAAGAGTTTTGCTTAATTTACGCTGCTTTAGCATAAAAGCTGGAGAAGGAAGAGTGAACAAAACATATTGCTTTCCTGATAAGTCAATTTACTCCTTTAGATTGTAAGACTCTTTTTCATATGAAGTGTCTATCTGGTGAAATCCCCTAAATGTCTGGCAAGGCAAATCACAAAACCTTAACAGAAAACATCAGTACAGTATAAAGTAGAAAAAAAAAAAAAAAGAAGGGTTGGGGGAGAGAGGCATTCTAGGTATTTTGCATTTAGACAAATCCTAATAGATGAGAAATCCTTATGAATACTGGATATGAATAGGTGCCCTGGTCTTCATTAGCTTCATCTGCTGGGTTGTTAAAGGAAAAGGGGGTCCTTTCATATGGTCTTCCCATTTGCTCCCAGAAACTCTGCACACAAACAATTTAGTGACTGTTTGAGGCAGAGCAGACCCCACTGTGCAGCTGGATGCCCCTCCTACTGGTTTTGTTATTCCTTTCTGTCTCACAGGAGCTGAAAGCAGGGAGGTAAGAGGCACTGTGTGTTTGATGACCTCTAGTTGGCCTCATATGCTTTATATCACTTGGTGACAAGTCAGCAAATATAGTCATCTGGAGCCATTTTTGCCTGCTAGCACCATACTGAGAGAGTGAAATTATCTGGATTCAGTTGAGCCATTTTTATTTAGATTGATGTTGCTATTTGCAGGCACTCACCACCACCTTTTTTTCTCCAGGCTTGTTAGCTGAAGAGAGTGGCCTGCTATAGCATAACCATTACAATAAGCACCAGCTCAAAGATAAAAACATTACAGTGCTGTGAGATCTGTTGCTTTCAACATTTGAGCAACCAGCCTGTGAAAAAGAGAGGGATGAACTGCATCAGTCAAAGACAAGAGTAACATAAGCAGCTAACTTGGAAGTCCCTGTTCCCCCTGAAACTCAGTCTGGATGGCTCAGCAGCCAAGGGAAAGCTCAGTCCCACTCCAGGCCTTCTCCTGCTGAAATTTCACTCAGTCTCACCATTCTCCATCTCTTTCTGCTGTACCTTGGGTAGAGCTAAACTGGCTCACGACTATCCAGATCTAGACAGTACAAGCTGAAGTGGACCATTTAGTAGCACCTATTACCTCTCTTAGTGTGAACTGGGCTGAATTAGCGATGCTTTTTCAACAGACCTGGTGCAGAAGGAGAGCTGAAGAGCTCTGGCCATGAACTAAAGAATGTCCACGTTCTTGAGAGAGAGAAATGTGAGGAGATTGCTAATTGCACTTTCTGCCTCACCCAAAATACTGAGACCAAGTGGCAGCAGGCTTAAGGAAACATTTGCCTACAGGTCTACAACACATCACAAACAAATTTAGGATGCAATCTTTCAGGCAAATGCTACTTCCCTCCAAGTTTTCTAACCAGAAAAATCTTGTGTTCCCATCTGATAGGTAAATTTAGAAGTGAGTGAACTTGTTCTAATGGCAAGTGATGGCAAGGTCTTGGGCTTTGGTGGTTTTTTTTGAGAAGGGAAGAGGTTGGTTCTTTTTTTTCTTTCTTTTTTTTTTTTTTTTTTTATGTTGAGCTTCAGGGCAAATTCTGTTTTTTCTTGAAGGTGAATTTTTTTTTTTTAAGAGGATCCAGTCTTTTCTTATGGCTCCAATTTTCTTCTTCTGTAAAGATCTGATAAAGGGGAAGGATTGGTAAAAACCTAATGATAAAAGCCTCAAGAAGTGAATGTAGAGTGCACTCTCTGAAAGAAGCAATGTGGATGTTGGATATTTCAACAATGTTCTGTTTTGTTATAAAAGTAATTAAATGATAGAAAGAAGCAACATCCTTAGGGACAGAAGTCAAATTCATACATAGGAGCTAATAGAACCTGATCCTTTTGCTCTGGCAAATGCTTCAACTATGTTTATGAAAACCACAGGTAAAATTGAGAATGAGAATCTGGGTTTTAAAGCATATATGGATGGATGTTGTGTTTGCTTACCTCCCAAGTGGCACATAAGTCTGTCTCATGGTAGATAAATTTTCCATTTTCATCTCTTGGGTAGAGTGCATCTCCAGGCTGAAAAGTAAAACCACATTTTTGTGCTTTAAAGAAAAGTTTTTCACCCCTAAGTGCAAAGATTTTTCCACAGACTCCCTTTCTACTAGCAAACAACAACAACAAAAAATATTGAAAGGCTTTCTGAAACACCCTGAGTTCAACAGGTCATTCATGCTGGGCTTACCACATCCTTGACTGCTGGATTGCCCTTGGACACACTCCTGAACTGTCACATGAGCATACACTCAGCAGTTCCCGGATAGCCTTGTTTTTCAGTAAATTTTGACCTTCATGTTGGGGCATCCAAAGCACTAGTCTCCTTCCAAAGGGCTGGATTAGAGTACCAACCTGTATTCTCTTCTACTTCCCTCTTTCCTTCCTAGCCCTTCCCCTGATCCCTACTTGTGTCCTAGGCACTGAGAAAGAGTGTTGGCTCAGTCCAGTTCCCAACAGCTGGATGGACCAAGAGCTACTAGGAGTAAAGGGTTACATGCATAGCTAACCTCTTAAGTGCATTATCCCCTTTCTTTGGGCACTAGAAACTCTTTCTTCTGATCTCTATACCCTACAGATTTCAGAGATGAGTTATGAGCTGTTACCTCATGAGGACAACTTTCTCTTATTTGCTGGTCATTTCACTGTTGTTGCAGGCAATGCATTAACACGTCCCTCCCTATTGTCTGATCACAATTTCACTCTTTTTTTTTTTTTTAACAACAACTCTTCATTGATGTTTGACATCTGATCTGACGTCAAACCGCTACATTTCAAAGGGCTGGGTACAAGATGTTGACATGGTAACTCCTTGGGAACGTGCAGCTGTGACTAATATGATCGGTAACTGGCACCTCCCAATTCAGTCAAGTTCAAATTCAAGGCATTTAATGGGAAAAGTGAGCATAAGGAAAACAGACTCAGATTTCAGAGGGCCAAGGTCTAAGTTACAGGCATAAGGCTCTATCTTCCAGATGTGCTGGTTTTCCCAGAATTCGACAAAGACAACTTGTTGCTTTTGTTGCTGTGTCTTGCTGGAAAAAATATCTTGACTAGAAGGAAGTAGGTGGCTGTTGGGTACCTTTTTTCTATTAGAAGGCAAAATTTGCCATCATAATGTGAGGTGGAGAAGCCCTTTTTACACCTCCCCCAGCCCTCCCCCATGGTATTTTGGAACAAACCATTCATCCCCATGATACTCCAGCACATTCTCCAAGGACTGCAAGTTCAACATACAGAAATTGTACTTCTTAAAGTTCAAGGGATGAGTCTGAATTCAGGACTTTTTTACTCTGTTCCACTTCTAATTAATTAATTTTTATTCAACATTTTCTATATGGTCAATATACAGCAATCATATTAGCTAATTTATCATCCTCTCTTTTTTCTCTATCGCTTGTGTTCTAACAAATGAACCAAGTCAGGATGAATGGTGCTTGAAGATGAACTTCCCTTGACTGAGATAAGTGGTGTCAACTATTGTGGATTTCTAGGGGGATCAATAGGTTTTCCTACCACCATAGAACTGTGCAAGGTTCTGAAGTACAGTTGCCTCTCCTCAATGGTCTCCAGGCAATACTTTCTCTGCCAAGCTACCTTTTTATTCAAGGGAATTCCTGAATGAAAGAACTGTTTGCAGATGCATAAAGTGCTGTGAGAAAGACTGATTTGACGGTGGTAGGGTGGTGGTTATGGGGTCTTTGAAAAGGTCTTTCAGAAGTTGATAACCTTTCTTAGCTCTAGGTTCTCATGAACTACACCATACCAGTCATTTCCACTAATGTTGTTGTCTTCTCTTGCAGTTCTCTTGGAGGTAGCTTCACACTTTACACTAAATGTAAGGTGGCTTCCTAAGATGCTGCCCCATGAGCACTGAAATAATTGTGGCAACACTGTACAGTCACTGCCACTATGCAGGGATCACATCTTATCATGTCATGTTCAAAGTCTGGAGGCACTCCAAAAGATATCAGACAACCTACTTGCCTATTTAAAACACAGCAGTTTTAACCACTGAGAGGAAAAGCCCTGCTCCCATTATAAAACTTTTCTCACCAACACAGATGCAGGAAGGCAGGTCTGCAAATCCCATTGCTTTCATAAAATGGTCTTTGACAAGCAGGCTTTCTCAAGAGAGCAATTTCAACAACTTGTGAATGCCTATTCTATAAGGAGAAGGCAATACGTAGTCAAATAGTGAGGCCGCTAGTCTCTCTCGGGTTATTCTTTCAAAATGACAAGATACTTAGATGAGACTTTTTCAATGTAAGGCTAAAATACCTGCTTTTCTGCCAGATCATGGAATAATTCAGCTGAGAGGGATTTGCAGATCATTTAATGCACACGTACCTGCTTACTAATAAATCAGTCATCTGAGCAGAGTCTCCTACAAAATCTGCTAGTGGGTATGAGCTCCCCAGGCAGAGGGCACGTGGTGGCCAGCAGGAGACCTGTTTCTGCTGGTCATCTACCTTGCTTGATTAGAGGGGCTGAGCACCACTGTTGCGGTCTAAAGGCAGTAAGGACAAAAAGTCCTAAATGGGGAATCTACATGAGGGAAAAATACAGGGAGGTGCAGGCTAATGTTGGTAGGTCAGTGAACAATGTCACCCCAGGCCATTCCTGAGCCACTGAAAAACGCTAGCGTGGTGGGGCTTTCCTCCTCTGAGTGGTGCTGTCTGAAACCAGATTGCTCTTACTCTGCCTGAAAGTCCCTATGACAGCTTGCACCAGTGGCTGGGCTCTGCAGGGGCATGTTTCTTACTGTTTTCAGAGCAGGACTGTAAATTCTGTCTCAAGTACTTCACTGGTTCCAAGCAGAGATTGCTTTTGCTAGAAGGCTTTGGGAGAGACAGGAAAGCACCAATGTTTGCAGATTAGAGGAGAGCAGGAGTTTGTTAGCATCACACCTGCATACCAAAGGCAAGCATCACACACAGGATGGGTGTGTTTGCGAGAGAGGGAGCAAAGGAAGGAAACCTGTCACCATCGCAAAAGGATGGGGTTTTTTCTTTCTGTATTTGGCACAAAAAAATGTATATTTCTCAGGCAGAAAGTGACTTCTTTTTTTCTCTCCTCTCATGGGGGACATGAATGAATCTCTAGGTCTGTTACTCCTTCAACAATTCAAGACTGTTGATACAAGCCTCAGGGAGTCAGATGTACATTACTTTAAAGCCAGCTGTCTATGTCTTTATATTGTGAGACAATGACCTTCACTATGTGGGAGAATGAACTACCAGAGAATACAAACACAGGCAAAGGGAAACAGGAAATTGCTAGTGGTGGGAAATTTTCAAAAATGTACCCAAAAGGATTCCATACATGTGACTGTATAAATAAAATTTTAATATTAGAGTCTGATTACTCCTATACAGGTCTTAATAGGGTATGGCTTCCTCAGGGGAAAAATACTGCAGATCTAAGGTGATAGCCTCGTTGATAAATTTCTTCCTATCTGATACTTCTGGTAGTTTGGAGTCTGTAGCAAAATATGATTTTAATAATCAGAGAACTACCTTCCTTGCAAAAAGAGGCCAGTTTAGAGCTTAAACATCTCTCAGAAACAATTAGCCAGCTAATTGCCTGACCTTATTCTCTCTAAGAAGAGGGATTTAATTAGTTCAAAACCACTTAAATATTTTGAATATCATACTTCTCATTTCACTATTATTTCGTTTGCCTTTATATCATGTACTTGTAGAGGAAAATTGTAAAGCAAGTTACAAAGAGCTGTGAAACCAGAGAGTTTGTGGACTTACAAGAGCTGGTTGCAAGGCAAGAGGCATAAAACTCTGATGTGAGCTCCTTGCCTTGAAAGGTTTTACCTACAAGTTGCCCATAGCCAGCAGTATGAAGGGATATCAGACTAACTTTTGAGAGTGAGAGATGGACAACCCATGTTTGGGACCAACTGTGGTCTAGTGAAGCTGTCCAAGAGGAGGAGCACTGCAGTTACAAAGATTAAGATCATAATCATGATTTGCCCAGTGGCTTTAATTTGGGACAGAGTAAAGAAACCAACTTGGTGGGTTTTCCCCCTTTTCCTGCTCCAAACTTTGCCCCTTGTATATTGCTGCTTTGTATAACTTCTTTCCTCCAGTGACTTGCTCCTCATGGCTCAGAGAGGATTCGGACACATACACTGTTCCAGCTACAGTATTTCTTCAGCATAGGAAGCGCTCTAACCCCAGTTAGGAGACCTGTCCTTCCACAGAAAGACTCTATGCAACAGCTGTCATTTACTGTTCTCACACCACCCATGAGCCCCTCTTTGTGTGGGTAGCACAGAGAAATACATGCATGCAGTATACACGAAGCATTATCTGGTCAAAGTGCTATTGTCAACATAGGCTGGAAGTTGCAAGGAATACGTGGGATGGAGACCCTGGCAGGAGCCAAGTTCATGCATTTTTTTCAAGCAATTTTTCTTTTTACCTTGAAAGCCATTGGCAGCTCAATAATGTAGAGGTCGACGTAGTCCAGCTGCAGGATCTTCAGTGTCTTCTCCAGTGTGGGACGCACCAGCTCTGGTGGGTGGCAGGTATTCCACAGCTGGAGAGGCAAGCACAGGCTCTTTTCTGGGTGCCAGCAGGAACAGTGAGTAGCTGATGCCCCCCAACACACACTCAATCCTTCACTCCTCAATCCCTCTTGTCCTCCTGACAGAGCCCATTATGCACAGTGCAAAGACATTGTGGTTTACATCACTGCAAGGCAAAGGTGAGGGGCCTTACCCTGTTCTCTGTCAGAGCCAGGTGCAGAGGTCAAGACAGGAATTCCTGCCCAGGGCTGATGTAGTGTTGACTCAGTAAAGCCATCACACATTTGTTTATTACAACACAAGTTCTTCTGAGCTGAGTATATTACAAACTCTTGCTCAATGAACTTAGGAAGATTCCTTTTGTTTTCCAAGCATATGCTTTCACTAGAAAACTTAGTTCCCACAAGGAATCTGTGGTCAGTTTTATGCTTGAAGGCAGAAGTTCAGATCATGTGAGTTAGCTGTTGAACAGCCAAGCACCCAGCACAGAGAGAATCTCTTGGTTGTCTCCTGTGGTCATGGAGCCCAAGTGACTGCCTGACCTAGTGAAGTTTTTGTTTACTCCCCAGTCCTCACCAAAAAATGTATTTGTGTTTAGTCCTTGCAACGCAGGTGTGACTAGTTAAAGCAGTCTAAACCTCTTTAATCCCACTTCTTCCTTTTTGGGTTATGGATTGTGCTTAGTTGGTTACTGTTCAGTACTACCTCTAACTGAACTCTGCTGATGCAAATCTCTTGCAGGAATAAAACCATAGCATGGTAATTAGTAATCAAGAGCCCTCTGTAAACTGATTGTTACAGTCAAAATCCACAAAACTCAAAATTAACACACAATAGAAGGTTTAAAGTGCCATTTGAATGCATAAAATAAGATGGACTATTTTAATTTCTTTTTTTTTCAATACACAAAACTGATATGTGGAGTCATGTTGAAGTTTTTGTCACTTTTGTTTGCTGGAACAACCTGTTGTTTGCTGGTGTGATGATTGTCTAGTCAGTTCAGCCTCCAAATCTGACAGCCACTGAATGCCAAGGTATAGAATGAATTTGTTCCTAAGACACAAAACACTTGAATTGCCATTTTTGGGAGAAGATGTTGATTATAGGTCCTAAAGGGTATAGCCTGGGTAAGTTTTAAGGTATTTAAGATGCTTGGCTTTGTTTTCTTTTGTTCTGTTTCCAATTGAGTTATAGTTATTCCCTGGGAAAACCACCTGCTACTTCTGCCAGCAGAGGCAAGAACACATTATCTTGAAGTTAAGTTGTACTGAAAGTAGCACATCTGACCCTGCCCTAAGCTGACAAACCAGAATAAGGTTTGGCACCTGGGAAGTCATACTAGGCCTTCCCTAGTTGTATCCTGCAAGGTGTGAAGAGTTTACAGTTAATAGACAGTGGAAAGAGACTGAGGTGTACTACAGTAAAGGGACCGAGGTCCTGTTCTCAAGTTTTAAGTTGTGCCACTGGATTTCCTGAAAGATTTTGGTCTATGTATTTTTTAAGTGTTTACATGTAAAATGAGCTTCACTTGTATTTCAGTTAGGAATTGTAGACCCTTCATGTTCAGTTTGTTTTGTTACTGTGGTTTAGAAATTTGATAACCTGAGGTATATGCTAGTTTAGAAGCAGTTTTTCCGAGTGCCCTTTCTAGCTCGGTGCTATTGAGCTCAGCACTTGCCAGTGAATATACTTCCCTTTAAAAAACTGCAGAGTTCTAAAGAAACAGCCTTTAAAAACAGCAAACATTTGTACTATGTCAATACATTGATGCCATGGAAACTTGAGAGTTTCATAACTGTTTTCATGATTTGTACAAGTTATTGTATTATCTACCTAAGTAGAACCCGTGTAGATGTTAGAGCAGTAGTCAAAGCTGCCAGCTGGCTTTGGCATTTTAGGACACCACATTTCCTGGAAATGTTACTTCTAGTTTAATGAAAGAAATATCCTGGGATGAAAGAGGAGACCAGAAAGGTCTTGCTGTATAAGCCAAGTGAGATGCTGGCAGTTGATATAAAACCTCTAAAATTTCTGGATGCTGAGCTGCTCTGCCTGATCAGCCAGCAAGAAGTGAGAGCCAAGTGCAAGTGCTGATGATTTCAACTGGCAGATGCAGCCCGATCACACCAGGTCACTGTTCCAGTAACACTGCCACTCAGCGGGGCTGCTCTTGTTAGTCCCTGCTGACACATCAGCCTTCCGTCTGCGTCATCTTTGCTTAAGGAAAGGTCTGCATGAGGGGCTTGAGTGTGAAGGGTCTTGGGAATTTCAAGTACTTGTGATGTCAATAAGGCAGAAAAAAACCCCAACTTCTGTTGTGCTTGACTGCTTCCAAGAATGCAACAGCTCGTGTCAGTCACTTACCAATCAATGCCTGATGTATCTACTGGTGGTTTGATATTTGCCAGTAATTTGTAAGACACATAAGTTTGTGAGGTACATAAAACTAAAGATACATAAACACATAAGGCAAGGGACATCCATTCCCACTCTTCCTGGGAAGTTCAGGGCTCCTGCGAAAGTGTTCAGTGAAACCTGTGAAAATCCTGGATTGTGATGGATTGAATAGGTTGAAGAATATATTCCACTTCTGCCCTTGAACTCTAAATTTAAAGACTACAGAATCGCTACAATGAACTATTATCCTGAGCACCTGAAATTTTGTCAGGCACAAACAGGACACAACAATAAGGTAAATCCATGTGTGTCCCATCTCACAGAGACAAGGCAGGCTGGGACCACAGGCACTGATTGTCATGTTACTCTGTGTTGCAGCCCTAAGGCTTACAGGATCTGCAGTTTTGCAGGTAACTCAATGTTTAAGTAGTGATTATCAACTAGAAGAATCATCTAGTGATTAGATCAGACAACTGAATATAGAAAGGCTTAATAATAAAGTAAGTTTGGAAAATTTACTGGGAGGTGTGCTTTTACAGACTTTAAAGGTTGATATGGGAAAATAAACTGCAGGGGAAGAAGTTGAAAAAGTTAAAATACTCAGATTTGTTGGGACATCTGATTCTAACCTTTTGGCATGATTTTGTGGTTTTGATTTGAAATATTACTGCTAATTTGCAGTAGTGAAACTATTAAACAGTCAAAACCAAATATTTTCATTGATCCAAATCAACATATTTGACATACGAGAGACTGACAAACTTCCCTGATAAAGGCAGAAAATTTGAGGACACGAAGTTTTTCTCAGGATGGCAAGGTTGCTACCAGCAGAATCAGGCAGGAAACTTGGAAAAGAGTTGCATATTTTACAGGTTGGAAATTGCTGTACTTGAATATTGTTCTATAGCTGCTGAAAATCCACTTGGTCTGTAAACTACCCAATACAAAGCTTAGTTTCCCAGATGATAGAACTTAACCAAATTGCTCACAGTGTTTTATCTCATGGGATCTTTCACTCTAGGAACAGTGTTTATTTGCAAGTCTGTTGAGTAACTTTTGTGCATTACGTCTTATTTGGGAAAGGAGAAAGGGAAAATATTAGGCTAATATGTTCAAAGAAGCACTGCAGGAAGGGCAATTTGAGGCCATAAGCTCCCTTAAAAACTGGATGGGAACCATCAACCCTTATTCGACAATGTGCAATGAGCTTTCTTGTACCTGGGATATAGTCATTGAAGTTGTAACAGCTTTTGTCAGACACCTCATTGGACAAGGGATTTGATTCTTCTAGGAGAAAGTAAATTTTTACAGCTAAGACTGTAAAGTATTAACTAGTTCATGCATTACTCCAGCCTTGTTGCTCTAGAGCAGGAGTGTAATGACATCTTCTCTCCAAGTAAGTTGATTCATCATCGTAGAACTTTTTAATGACAGGTGATACAGTAACTAAGGGTGTAGCTTGATGAGTAATTTTCTGGCAGTAATATCAATGTAAGCACTTGCTGTTCTCCCATACTTAGACACTGGCATGCACATGCTTGCTCCCACCCCTTTCATTGTGCAACCTCATGGCAAACCTGTACAGGGAATCACTCTGACAGAAAATAACTCATTGGTAGGATCATTGTCCATATCAGGCTCAGTGTGTGGCTATAAAAATGTGCATGACAGCACAGTGTGTGGTACAGTAACAGTTTAGGCAACACGGCTGAGTGTAGCAATGGTCTTAACTTGCAGGTACCTACAATACTAAGCAGAATGGATGTTGCATGGTTCCCGTTGCTATCAGAGATTTAAACAGAGAACAACAGTGATTCCTGTGCCTAACAGAAAAGCTAGTGTTCATAAAGATCTGAGGCATTATGGTAATGCTAGGAAAGAAAAATAAAGGATGTTGGATCTGGAAGGAAACATGCCAGATGTTGACCACCGGCATTCTTAAGAAAGACCATTCACGGAAATCCTGGATTTAGTGTAAATAATATGAGCACAGCTTCTCACCTTGCCACAGTAAAAAATGTCTTCTCGCTTGATCTTTCCTTCAGCAATCTTCTCCCGGATGGCTTGTCCCACTTCATGCTCATTGAAGTAGACAAAGGCACCGTCGATGTGGCGGTAGCCAGCATCAATGGCAATCTTCACTGCCTCCAGACAGGAACCCTTGGGGGTCTGGTGGGAGAAGAATAAACATAGCTTCAGCCTCCTGCTCACCTTCCCTTCAATGCTATAGAGTCACTGAGATAAGCACAAGATTCATGCTTAAATTCATCCAGTCTGACCATCCCTTACCTCCCCAGATATCTGTGTTTCAATTTCTAAATAAAAAAGTGCTGTGCACTTTTCCTCAAAACTGTTGTGAATGTGAAATTGGACTGGAAAAAGCAGCAAAGCAAAAACTTTTCTGTGTTGTGAAAGAGAGAGTACTACAATCCTCAGAAAGTAGAACTGAATGTATTTTATATAAAAAATTATTTCAGAAATTGTCACCTAGAGAGCAAGGACTTTCCCACAACAGCCATTTGATAAAATTCCTTACTCATTCTTTACCATTGGTGGTAGCACAATCCTAAGGGTGATAACTCAGGACTGTCTACTGATATTCCCAGTTCTGGACAGTTCCTTTATTGTGTAGTTAAGAACCAGTAGTTGTCTTAATATACATTTATATACATTTTATTGCTTCAGTTTAAGATGAGCCCAAGAAACCTAAAAAGTCCAAGTGACATTTTTGTACTGTGTACTGCATTTATATTTACTCATCACTGCCAAAATTCAGAATAAGCTTGTTTTTTCGTAACAGTCATATTTTCCATTAGCCACTGTGGCAAGCAAAATTACACGTAGGCTAAACCAAGCAAAAAAGCATAAAACTGGTTACCAAAATTATTTGTTCTGGACACTGGAATTGTACTGAAAACATCTTATTGTTCCTACACTTTGTATAATGAGAGAGCAGCTCTAAGGTGGTCAAGGGCTCTCAGCAACATGCAGCAAGACTATTCTCCCACTCTTTTCATGGGCATTGCTCTCCTATGACAGGGACATCTGATTCACTTTAAGAAACAGAGAAATAGGGGGAGTCAACTTGCTCTGCTGTGTTGTTGTCTGTCAGCAACAAATGCCAAGAGTTGAATTCTGCTACCTGCAAATGCAGGGCCAAAACCACATGGCTTCTCCTATGAAGAAAACAGATGTCAGAGACATCTGGAAATGAGAAGGTACAAAGAGAACGTCAAATTTGTTGGTTTTGCTGATGCCAAGGGAAGACGAGAAGCAGGACTGGCAGTAAGTGTTGTTAGGAAGGACCACTTTTCACCACAGCAATGGCTCTCTCTCCTCTCTGTCCTTTTACAGCTGCCACTGGCTTGGCTGTCCAGGAGTTTGCCATGAAATAAACAGCTGTTCTTCCATCACCTGATGAATTAGGTGTGAAACTCATAGCTGCTATAGGATGTTTCAGTGATCAAGGACATTGGTCTTCCCTTCCATGTTCATGTGAGAAGGATTCCTGCTGACACATGAGGGTCAACTTCTCTCTTTCAGTCCTAGAGCTGTGGGCTGGTGACAGACTATTCTAGGATAATAGGACTATATTCCAGCCTGCTTCCTCTGCTCTTCAGTGTCCCATCCCAACTGACTGCTGTTGGACACAAATGGACCAACTTCTGTTTGGGCCTGTGGGGACTTTCTGCTCCAGCACACAGTGCCCAGAGGTTACTTAAAATGCAAAGCCGCTCACGCTTGCCCTGATTTATGACAAACATGAGCGAGGGCTCAGAGGCAAAAATGGCACAATTTGGCACTCTACAGTATTTACAGCAGTGATGATGCAATGCTGTTTGCTTAATTGAGAGAGACAATGAAACACTTGTTTCAGTGCTTTGCTGCTTTTATTGTGGGAGCCTCCCAAAAGCACGCTTGGCCCCTGCCAGGGCCCTTTCCTAGTTGTTAGTAGGTTGTAATGGCAGCCAACAGCCTTTCAGGACGAGTCAATGGCTAGTTTTCACTTGGGGCATGTTGGGCAGCATTACAGAAGTGTGAGGCATGGAGTAGTGACAACCTCCAACATGTTCGCTGCTTTGTCCCTGCCTGAACCTGCAAGGAAAGATTTGAGAGAGGCATCAGGAAGAAAGCTCTGACATGAGTATTACAAGCCTGCTGTTACTGATGACAGTAACCTCAGACCTCTGCCCCAGCAATGAGCTGCACAAGGCTGTAGCCGCAGTTGCAAAGCTCAGACTGATTAGCACAGAACAACAGGACTCAGCTTAAAGGTCTGGTGAGCTCAGGTTTAAGTGGTGATTAGTTGTCTGAAAGAGAAATGTATTTCCAAATTGCGGTCAGTGTTTCCTCTCTGAAACCTGATTTTTGAAACTATGTGACTTTTAGATTGCTTCAGCCTGTTTCACTTTTACCATTCAAGTGTATGAAAGCAGAATATTTAGAGGAAAGTGATGCATTAACCTTAATGCAGATCTTAAGAATTTTTTTTTTTACATTTTCCATTTGTTGAAGAGCCTGAAAATGAGGCGTGAACCTGGTACCAGAATTTTCTCTCTTCTTTTCACATGCTTGAGAGATTGCATGAACACAGCTCCCTGTTGTTTCCTGAACTGTAAACCAAACTCCATCAAGTAAGGAAACATTGATTATTGAGTTGCGTCTTTTCTTGGACACCAGGGCCACTTTGGTCAGTAAGGAAAGCAGAAGGAATAGGTCGGGAAAGGTAGAGTCTCACATATAAGGGAACAGCACAATTGCAAACTTGGGAGAAGAGTAGAATAGAGAAAAATGAGAAAGCTTACAATTACTGCAACTGCTTTTGGCTGAAGCAGTTGACTCATGTTAGAGCTGAACTTCTACGTGTTTCTTAATTTTTGCATGGGACTTACATCTGTACAAACAATCTTGTGAAAGACTCCTCCATCTCAAGGAACAATCTTATTCTTCAGGGGCTTGGAGAAGCTTTTTTTGGATCAGACCTTGATTACCAATGGCTAGAGATGGGTTTACATTAAATATAAATATTTTCATTGCACCAGTTCATTTAATCTGATGTGGTGTATTAGTTCTGACAGATTCTGGTCTAAGGTGCTCCATATAAAAATGCAAAACAACCTAGGGAACAGTTTTTGGAAAATTCTGCCTCTATTGAACCATCCCAGCTGAAGGTCTGAGACATCTGTGAGTCTGGAAACTTTATACCATATGTTAACTTTCATTGTAATGGAGAAACTATCATTTCTAGGATTTCATGTGTTTAATCCTTCCAAATCCTGCACTAATAGGCTGTGGTAAACTGTGCTGATGAGTTGCACAGGCTAGTCATGTTGTGGTATTGCTGCTTTTTAGAAGTGTTTCCTTAAATGTCATATCTTGTTCCATTGTTTCCTGACAGACCATACTAAAGTTGGATGACTCAGATCACCACTGCTCATACATCTTTCTATCAGAGAAGGTACAAACCTCGATCTTTCCCCTCTACCTTGCTGCTCAGCCTGAGGAGTTTTAATCTCTTCTGTCTTTCATGGAATTAAAGTCTTTAGTAGTGACCAGATCAGAGATTAACAACTGAAACCTGGCTTTTATTTAAGTGTAGATAGAAGTTTATGATATGACTGTGTTGTATAAGGACCGGCACCACTCCAACCACAGCACCTGGTAAAGCAGTATCTCCCAGGCTATTTGGCCTTGGAGCAGCCACCTTTACTTGGAATCCCAGACCTCTTCCTTCTCCTTGCTGCAGGTTATACTCACTAGGGTCTGCTATCTAAACTGCAGTTGCCTATGCTGTCTATTTATTCCAGGTAGGCCTTTATTCTTGTACCATTCCCAAATAAGCAGGGCTCACATATAGAGAAGTAGAAATACCAGATGAGGTACTGAAATGTCTCCATGCCATAAACTCTTTGGGTTTTATCAGTAGTAATTCAGGACTCTTTGGTTTTGGCCTTAAGACAAATCTTTGCTTTTTATTACTTTTTATTTAAGTGTAGATAAGAGCTATGTTTGATCCTTAGCTATAATTAATGTTTCAGCTTCTAATCAGTGTGCCCTACAACTATGCCACTTTGATCAAGGACTTGTTTTAGAACTGGAATTTTGTACACTGGAAGTCAGATATTTATCTTCGGTGTTCTTGCAGTCAGTCACTGATTTGTGCCAAAAAAGTTACTAAATTTATCGCATGTTTTATGATAAAAGAAAAACTTCTTGATTGACTAGAACAATTTGCTCCATTGCTAATAAATTTTTTCAATAGCATCTGTTATTCTTAAGATCATAAAGTTTAAGGAAACAATACACACAGTTATTCCCTCTCTCAATCAATAGCTTGTAAACCTGCTGATTTACCACCACACATGGCAGATTAAACCAGTATCAGTTTCCTTCAGGCTCCATGGTAAATAAATGGAACAGAAGGGATGGGGGGGCAGACTCAGATATGCACCTTCACTGGAAGAAATGAAGCAGCAATTTGGCCCCTTCTCCATAGATGAAGTAGCCAACTGGACAGTTACCACTTTCTGTGAGTCTGAAAAAGCAATGTGCTTCATCAGTCCTGTCTGTCTGAAAGGGTCTGCTCTCTTTTTCCTCTGAGACCATAAACTTTCATATTTTTTAATGTTTATTCCAGACACCTTCCATCACATCCCATTTTGTCAAAAACTATTTTCCCTACCGTAGCAAATGAACAGTTGCAGTTTTGTTCATGATTGCATATGACCAAGCCACAGGAGAATATTTTTGTGCAGGCATACCCATGAATTTTTCTCTTCCCTCTCAAGTAGAACAGTATTTGCTCAGCAGTGTTAGTGGTTTTCCAAATTATTACTGTTATTTAAGTGTCACAGTTCAGCTGCCCTCCAATTCTTTTGCTTTTTCTACAGCATCTTTTTCTGGTCAGCAATTTCCATTGGCTTTCCAGCTGGTTAAGAGGGTTATCTCCAAAGACAAAGCTAACAGCACACATTGGTGGTAGACTCTAATCTTGCAAAACCACGCCACTGCTTGTATGTCTTAACATCACTATTGTAATTTATTTTTTGTTAGTCCACACAGTAAAGGAAAACAGTCTGACTCAGGCTCTCAGATTCTGCTCTGCCTTGTTTCACACGCGCAGCTCTATGGAGTTGCGCCAGTGTCAGCAGCAGATGAGAGCTGAGGAA